ACCACTGAGCGCTGGAGACCAAATGCCTGGGCCCCGCCCACAGGAGCCAGTGACACCAGGGCCGGCCCGGACCCAGGCTCTGAGCGCGGCCTGTGCAAGCACACGCATTTGTGTCCCACCCAATTCGGAGGTCGCTGCCCGAGGGCCCAGGGTGGTGGCATTTGGAGCAGAACTCGGGCCCTTCCGTCCAGGAACCTCTGTCACTGGCCTCCTGTGAGCAGAGGGCGCATGCCCACAGCCCACTCCTGGGGTTGCCCCATGGACACACACAGGCGTGACCATCAGCAGGCGTGTGGCGCCCGGCCGGCCTGGCTCAGGGGTGGAGCGTCGACCTATGAACCAGGAGGTCATGGTTTGATCCTGGTCAGGGCACAGGCCGGGGTTGTAGGCTCGCTCCCCAGTGTGGGGCGTGCAGGAGGCAACCGATCAATGATTCTCTCTCATCATTGTCGTCTCTCTCTCTCCCGCTCTCTTCCTCTCTGAAATCAATTAAGACACAATTTAAAAAAGAAAAGGGCGTGTTGACAGCAGCTCCATGCAGAGTTGTCCCAAACGGTGGAAAGTGCTTGTGCCCATCAGCAGCACATGGACCCATAAACGTTGTCGTATTCGCCCAGTGCAACACTAAAGGGCGATGGAAGGGAAAAACTACAACTGTGTGAAACAAAGTGGGTAGATCGCATAAACGTGACGTTTAACAAGAGAAGCCGGCACCCGGGCGAGCACACGGGGGTCCCACCTGCAGCACACGCACACGGGGGCCTGGCCAGGTGCGCAGTGGCCTGGAGCGTCGGCCGGATCCGCGGAGGCGGAGGGTTGCACCCTGGTCGGCGCAGACAAGAATCCACTACTGAACGCTTCAACGCGTGGAGCAACACATCGAAACCGACGTGTGTGTCTCTCTCCCCTCCTTCCTTTCTCTAAAATCAGTCAATAGAAAAACTCTTAAAGGAAAATATAGCCGGGCCAGCATGGCTCAGTGGTTAAGCATCGACCTATGAGCCGCTCGTTGGGGTGGTTAATGAGGACCGAAACGACCAAGGGTTTTTCACGAGGGAATGTGCCCAGAGAACCAGCACCCGGATGCGGATGGGGATGCGGATGCGGAGACAGAGCATTCCGGAATCCCAGGCCTCCTTCTCATCCCCGGTCACTTCCCTTTCCTCTCCCTCAACAAGGACAACCACTCTCCTGGCCAACGATTAGTTTGCCTATATTTTCATTTAAAATATATATATATATTTTTACTGGTCTCAGAGAGGAAGGGAGAGGGAGAGAGAGAGAAACATCACTGATGAGAGAAAACCTTTGGTCGGCTGCCTCCTGCACACCCCACACTGGGATCCAGCCCACAACCCAGGGATGTGCCCTGACCCGGCATCAAACCATGACCCCCTGGTTCTTAGGTCGATGCTTAACCACTGAGCCACGCCGGCCAGGCTCATTTACCTTTAAACACACACACACACACACACACACTGCTCTGGGGTCTGATCAGGCTGCTACCCGAGGCCAACGCCCTGCAGCGGGCACTGTGACTTCAGTCACTGCTCACTCCCTGGGCCTGAACACGGATCCGGGGTGGCAGGCGCCGGCGCCCTGCGTCCTGGGGAGACAAGGAGCCAGCCCACCGCCCTCCGCCCACCGCCCTCTCAGAGCCCACATGCAGCCCGCGCTCAGGAGGGGCCCTCGGGACCAGGCTCCAGCGGACTGTCCAGGGCCCTGGAACAGGGGCGGGAGGAGAGGGGGGCGGGGGAGGCCGGCGAGGCCCCTTGCGCTGGCGGCCGGGGACAGCTCGGCGCGGCTGCAGGCGGTCGGCTCCCCGCTGCTCCCGGGACCCACGGAAAGAGCCGCCTGCCCGCCCGCCCAGGGCCCAGGCCGGGAGGGTGAGCCGGGCGGCTGCTACCTGCTCCTGGCCGGCCGAGCCCGCAGGTGCGGTTCCGAGGACGCCCCTTAGAGGGCGCTGTCTGCCTGGCTTTGGGTGGAGTGGGCGCCAGGAGGCCGAGGCTACACCCCTCGCCAGAGGGCAGGTGAAGGGCGGCGACCGCGCGGGACCCACCCCGCAAACTTTCTCCCCGCGGAAGAGCAAGGAGGGTGTATCCCTGCACCCGGCTGTCGGAGCCCAGCATCCCGGAGACTCGGGGGGTCCGCTGTGGGCACCGACCGCTCCCCCCGCAACTCCTCTCCGGGTCCGAAGGCGCGCGCCGCCGCCGCCAGCACCCCCCCCCCAACACACACACACACACACACACAAACACACACACACACACACACCACGCCCGGGAACGCTGGGGGAAACTGAGGCCCCGGCTGTCCCGCACCCTCTCCCGCCCGCCTGCGCCCTTCCAGCCCCCAGGTTTGTTTCCAACAGCCAAGCGCCCACCTCTCCCGTGAGGAGCGTCTCCGCTGGTCTCTCTCTAAAAGCCGCGTCCATGCGTCAGAACTTTGGGGAGATTTTGCACGTACCCGCCTCGGACCCAGAGCTCACGCAACACGCGCGCGCACTCTTGCGGGAGGGGGGTGGTCTCCGCTCCATCCCTGGCCGGCAGCGTGGCTGGGGGGTGCGGCCCGCACGGAGCTGGGGAGAACGTCGCTTCTGGGGGCCAGCGACGGCAGGCCGGTGGCCTTGGCCTGGTCTCCCCCACCCAGGAGCCCGTTGCCATCTGTAAACCCGCGTGGGAGACCCGCCCTGCTGGGCCCCCCGGACTGTGATTGACTCCAACCCGGGTCACCGGGCAGCGCTTTGCTCCCAGCAAAGCCCCGCGCAAACTGGAGAGTAACAGTAATGAGAACAATTGTTTACGGAAGCTCTGTCTGCAAGCGCCGAGGCCCCCAGAGCAAACACGGGGTTCACTCCTGACCGTGTCTGCTGAGAGAAGCATTAAAGGCGCCCATCGGGAGTTGAGGGGGGCGGGGTCCGAAGCCCCAATGGGGAAATAAAACACCCACTTCCCAACTGGGAAGCCGGATTGGTGGCCTCTGCCCATGCAGGGCGGCTGGAGGAGGCGAGAGGCTCCAGCTCAAGGAACAGAAGGCCATGTCCCGGCCGCGGGGTCGAGCGAGGACCTATGAACCAGGACCACACGGCTCCATTCCCCTTCCGGCGCAGGCCTGGGTTGTGGGCTCCATACCCAGTGGGGGGTGCGCAGGAGGCAGCCGATCCATGATCCCCATCATTGATGTTTCTCTCTCTCTCTCTCTCTCTCTCTCTCCATTCCTCTCTGAAATCAATAAAAATATATATATATTTTTAAAGGCCATGGGTAAGTGAAGGGCCCACAAAAGACCTGGGATGCATGGGAGCTCACAGTGGGGGTGCGGAGTGGCCGCCAGTGCGCCCCCTTTCTCTGACTAGGGAGCTGTTTCTGAGGGGATCCCGCAAGCAAATCTGATGATTAAACCTAGAGTCTTAGCCGCCTGTCTGACAAAGCTACTGTGCGGCCTGGGGAGTTGCTTTGAAAGCAGACAGAGTAGAGCCCGTGTCTGCCCGGCTGTCCCTCAGGTCCAGCGGGGTTCCCCGGGCACCCGGAGACCGCGGGGACATTCTGCAGGTGCCCCCGAGGTGCCACAGCCCCAGACGGTGAGCACTGTGCCTGGTTCCCGTGGCCCCTATTAGAGTCAGGCACCTCCAAACGTCAGCCGGAGAGACTTCCGGGAGGAAGTGCTGTTTTCGGGTGGCGGGGCCTCCGCTGACCCCAGGCTGTGGGCCCTCGTGTCCAGAGGAGTGGAGCGCCCTTCCTCGCGCAGCCGTCGGTGCCAGGACGCCGCCCCCCCCCCACCCCACCCCACCAGTGGCGCCCGGGCGTCCGCGGTTCTCGCGCACAGTCAGAGAGACGCACACCGGCTCTCGCTGCCAGAAAAAGGTGCCCTCTTCGGTTTCCGGGGCCAGAGGCCAAGGCCAGAGGACTGCTGGGCCCGCTGACAACGGTGCTGGGACCTACACCCCGATTCCCTTCCCGTGGATTAGACGGTGGGCTGGGAACCCAAGTCTTCTCGGTGGCCGCGCCCCTGGCAGGCGTTGGGTAAAATGCCGAGGCCACCAGACCGCCAAGGGTGGGAAAGCGCTGAGTTCGATGGGGCCTGAGGTCGCGTCCTGCCCGCTGGGCCGGTGCTGAATTGCTCTCCAGCTGCGTGGGGGCGGCGGCCCGTGCCAGGCCCCTGGAGGCGGGGGAGCGGCAGCTGCGACGGAGGATAACCCCGAGGTGACCCGGGCGGGCCGGGCCCGCCCCCTTCCCCCTCCCGCAAGCGGGGCGGCTGGGAGCTGGTCCCCGAGCCGCGGGGGATAGGGGGAGGATCGGGGAGACAGGCTCGGGCTCGGGCGCCGCGGCTGTCAGTGCGCTCCGGCCCTGGGCGCCGCGGGCTCCGAGTCCCTCGCTCGCCCCCTGCGCACGCCGGAGCGCTCCGAGGGCCTCTTTAGCGGGAGCCAATATCCTTTTGTGCTAATAGGCTTGTCCTCATTTGCTGCCTAATTGGACTATATAAAGCCAATAACAGGCGGGCTCTTACAGCCCGAAGCCAAAGCGCCCAAATCCTGGGGAAGGCGAGGAGGGGGCGGCGGAGGCGGCTGCGGGCCGGCTCGGCTGTGCCTTCGCCGCCTAATCCCATTTGCCATTGTGCGCGCCCAATCGCCGTATACTCCCCGCATTTAACTTGGATGACATTTTGATTTCATCATTAGCATCCGGCGCCGGATTGACGCAGCCCCAAACCGGGAACTGCTCTCGCCGCCTCCTCCCCGGGAGCCGGAGCTGCCGCCGAGCCGCCTCGCTCCCTCGGTGCCGCGGCAGGGCCGCTCCCCGCCCCTCGGCACCCCTCCCCATGTGAGCCCGCCCCGGCCGGGTCCTCACCCCGCCCTCCCGCCGCTGGCTTTGCGCCCCGGGCGGCCCTCGACTTTGCGCCCCGTAGTTGAGTTCCGTTTATGGTCTGATTTCCGGCCACCCGCCAGCCTGCCCGGCCACCCGCCCGTCCCTCCCTCGCGGGGACCCGGAGGAGAGGGGACCATGCCGGAGCCCGGGCCGGACGCCCCCGGCACCGCGAGCGCGCAGCCGCCGCCGCCTCCCCCGCCTCCCGCGGCCAAGGAGTCCCCATTCTCCATCAAGAACCTGCTCAACGGAGACCACCACCGGGCGCCCCCTAAGCCTCAGCCGCCCCCACGGACGCTCTTCGCTCCGGCCTCGGCCGCCGCTGCTGCCGCCGCTGCCGCCGCCGCCGCCGCGGCCAAGGGGGCCCTGGAGGGCGCCGCGGGCTTCGCGCTCTCGCAGGTGGGCGACCTGGCTTTTCCCCGCTTTGAGATCCCGGCGCAGCGGTTTGCCCTGCCCGCGCACTACCTGGAGCGCTCCCCGGCCTGGTGGTACCCCTACACCCTGACCCCCGCCGGTGGCCACCTCCCGCGACCTGAAGGTACCGACCGCTCTTTGAACTTTCCTTGTCCTCCCCGCGCGCCCATCCTACCCCTGCCTCGCGCTGCGTCCCGCTGCAGCCCCGGGGCCTCCCGCACCTGCCACCCCGGTGTTTGCCAACTTCTTCCGGCCCCAGGTCCCCTCCGGGCCGGGCCGCCCCCGCGGCTTCACTGCCCGGGAATCCAATCCCACTTGGCGAGAGGAGTGGACCTGGAGCCGGGGCGCAGCGCTTCGCGGAGACAGTGGCCTCCGGCAGGAATGGGGAGGCCTCGGAGGCTGGGACTGGGGACTTGGCCTGGATGGAGGGAGCGACTCGGGCGGTCCCAGGACAGAGGCGAATCTGTGGGCCCCCGGGTGGGGGCGGTGCAGGGGTAAGAGGACGCCGTCGCCCTGCCACCGTCAGGGGCCCTGTCGCCTGTCCGGGGTGGGGGGGGGGGGGGAGAGGGCCCCAGGGCGCCGCGCCCCTATTCTGGCTCATGCAGCCGGCGAGAAGGAGGCCTTGGGGCCCGCGATCCGGAGGTGGCGCCGGTCCACCCGGGCCTCGATGGCCGCTGAGTGCGCGCGTGCATCCACCTGTCTGTCTGTCTCTCCGCAGCGTCGGAGAAAGCCCTCCTGCGAGACTCCTCCCCCGCCTCGGGCACCGACCGCGACTCCCCGGAGCCGCTGCTCAAGGCCGACCCCGACCCCAAGGAGCTGGACTCCCGGAGCCCGGACGAGATCGTCCTGGAGGAGAGCGACTCGGAGGAAGGCAAGAAGGAGGGCGAGGCGGCGGCCGGGGCGGCCGGGGCGAGCGTGGGCGCGGGCGCGGCGGCGGCGCCCCCGGGCCCCGAGGACTGGAAGAAGGGCGCCGAGAGCCCCGAGAAGAAGCCCGCGTGCCGCAAGAAGAAGACGCGCACGGTCTTCTCGCGCAGCCAGGTCTTCCAGCTCGAGTCCACCTTCGACATGAAGCGCTACCTGAGCAGCTCGGAGCGCGCCGGCCTGGCCGCATCGCTGCACCTCACCGAGACGCAGGTCAAGATCTGGTTCCAGAACCGGCGCAACAAGTGGAAGCGGCAGCTGGCGGCCGAGCTGGAGGCGGCCAACCTGAGCCACGCGGCGGCGCAGCGCATCGTGCGCGTGCCCATCCTCTACCACGAGAACTCGGCGGCCGAGGGCGCGGCGGCCGCGGCGGCGGGGGCGCCGGTGCCGGTCAGCCAGCCGCTGCTCACCTTCCCGCACCCGGTCTACTACTCGCACCCGGTGGTCTCGTCGGTGCCACTGCTCCGGCCCGTCTGAGGCCCGAGAGGGGAGGCGGAGGGAGCGCCCGGCCCCCTCCCCAGACCCCGGAGGAGACTGGGCCGGGCCCAGGGCGCCGAGACGTCCAGCGGCCTTCGGGAGCCGGCGCCGGCGCGGCTCGGCCTCCCCTCCCCCAATCGGTAGCGTTTTGTAAGTATTTGCAATGCATTTTCGTGCAATTCACCCCACGTGGATTTGAGGCGCTTCCCCTCTTCCTTTTGGTTTTTGGCTTCTATTCAGAGAACAGGAAACAGGCCCCATGCCTGTGTCAACATATTTCGGCTGGAAGCTTCGGGAATAGGGGCAACCCACCCACCAAATTTGCATCGCGCGCTGTGGCTTTTTTGGTTTTATTTTTATCGAAGGAAAAATAAACGCCAAAAGCGGACCCTCTCTAATTTATTCGTTTCTATAGAACGATGTTCAGGAGGAGAGAGAGAGGGGGCAGAAAGAGAGAGAGAATTCACATTGTAGTATTTTTATTTCTAGATTTCTGGGTGTGGTTCTGCCTCTCCACCGCCCCCCCCCCCCAAACCGGTATCCTCCCGTTTTCAAAACCTGAGCAGCCTCTTATAAGAACCCCGACTGCGGCCGCCCCTCTCTCACGGGCGAGGTCTGTCTCGGTTCTTCCAGGGTTCGGCTTTGTGACTGAAGGATTATCTAAGTGTCTAAAGGGAAAAGACAGCCCCCAAATCAGTCTCCTGGTGACGGACCGGCTCCGCATCTGGCCCCCCTGTGCGCGGTCTTATTTATTAGTGGCATTTATTTTTGGAATTTCACTTGTTGGTAAATTATTCTTAATGTTGCTCTTCTTATTTTATCCCCTCTTAGAGAGTGATTTCAATATGAAAAGCAACAACCTGTGGCCTGTACCCTCTCCCCTGCCCTTTTTGTTCCACAGTGACTGCTGTACTTCTGACCTGTGCAATATTGTGCAAAATTTCCCGAGTGCCTGGCTCTTCCTCGGGCGAGCAAGGCAGACATTTCCACTGTATAATCCTGGTCGTGGCTTCAGGAAGAGGAAATTAAGAAGGAGAAAGTGGGGGGAGAAAGGAAAGAAGGGCAGACAGGTAGCGATGCTCAGAGGAGTCAGATAGGAGACTGGAGCGCTTTAAGTGAAGGACAATCAATTTAGGAGAATTTTAACTTATTTGATAAATGTACAGATTTCTTGTAAAGTTCACCCTCGACTCCGTAGGGCTTCTTGCTCTGCCGCCCCATCTGTTCTTCCCCTGGCTACACCTGTTGTTCTGCGGTCGTTTGCCCCCACACCTCCCCCACCGTCTTCCCACCTCTGTCTGGGTTCAGTCCCTTTTTAAGAAAAAGAGAAAAAGACACAAAACATTGTTAAACTTCATGTTGTGGTGAAACGGAATTCATTAAAAAGCAAAGCGAAGCGTCTCGTGTTGCCCGCGTGTGACTGACTGTGCCGGCTGCCCCGGAGCAGGTGTCTCCCACCGGCTCTGCTGCCCGGCGGCGGGGACAAAGGCGGCTGTGTCCGCTCCCTCCGCGGCACCTCTGCGGCTCTGCCCGCCGGTGAGCAGGAGAATGAGGGGCGGAGGGCGAGGACCCGGCTTCCCGAGGCTGCGGGATGGGGCGAGGCGGCGGCCGGTCTCTCCGACGCAGGACGGCGGCCTCGCATCCGCTCCGGGACGTGGCTCCTTCGGGAGCCGCGAGGTTCTGGGCGGGACACCCCTGCGCCCGGGGCGGCGGGCCTGGGGCGGGCGGGCTCCGGTGTGGGGAGAGGAGGACGGAAGTGAATTTCCAGTGTAGCTGTGGCCGCAGGCGGGTCGCGAAGTCCGGCTGGGAGAGGCCGGGCGGCGAGAGGGCAGCCGGGAGGCCCAGGGGCAGGGCGGCCTCCGCAGGCCTTGAGGGACGTGGCTCCTGGGCGGCTCGGGGCGGGCGCGGTCCAGGTGCGGCAGGTGCCAGGGGACAGAGACCCTTTCCTCCCAGCCGGGCTTCTGCCCACGGCGCCCCACACCCCAAGGGCGGCCTCTCCACGCCCCTGGCCGCCGTCCCCGCCGCCGCCCTGAAGCGCTCCGCTGCTGTCCCCGCGCGCCAGCCGCTGGGAAGCGCGGTCTGCGGCAGAGGCAGGCGCTCGGGCGCCCCTCGCCCCCCGCGGCTCCCCGCCTTAGAGCCAGGGCGGGCCAGCCCAGCTCCCCGCAGGGTGTCCTTGAAGCCAGGAAACCAGCAGGGGGATGAGGGGCCCGGAGAGACCGAGATTTCGGAGAGCTCGCGCGGGGCGCAGCCGCTGGGGAGCGCGCGGGTCCTCGCTCGCAACCCGCACAACGATCCGACCGCGGCGGAGGCTCCGGCCTCGTTTCCCGCTGATGGGAAACTGCCCCCAGTACATGGGCGTATTTATGGCCAAATTTTAGGCTGGACCTCGGCGAAGGTAGCTCTCCCTTTATTTCCCTCTGGTTTGGAATAAAAACGAGGTCATGTGTCGTAAATGAAAAATAAACAGACATTCGGGGTCAAAATATGTTGTTCCTTGTGTTACCTGCAAACACAGTGATGCCGTTGACTGTTGGCAATACTAACTGCGGGCCAGGCCAATGGCAGCTCATTAAAAACAATGTTGCAACAGCAAACACGCCTTCGGTTTTACAGCCCGGACACGATGCTATCAAGCGCCAAGAAAAGACTTTATTTGTGTTTGGATTCTAGAAAACGGTTCTTGACTGACCCAGTCTTTACAAAGTCGAGAAATAACTGGTTCTTCACACGCTCCGTTTATCCTCTGCCCCGCTCCCCGGGGCCTCCCCTGCCCTCCTGAACCGGAGGTCTGCGCCCAGGCCTGGTGGGCGTCCCTCCCAGGAGCCCTGCGCGCCCTCCGGGAGGGGGGTGGCGCCCCGCCTCCTGGGCTGATGGCTGCCTGAGCCTAGAAACCTGCCCTGGCTGCGAAAACCTCCCCTCCCCTCTGGTCAGGTGGGGTCGTGGCATTTCTCACGGAGCAAGAGAAGGGGCTGAACCAGGGTGGGGTTTCAGAGCAGCTCAGCCACCCCACGCTCCAACCATCCTGGGCTTAGCTGCTGGTCTTTCCGAGGTGTTGGTATCAGGAGAGGCGCAGAAAGCCTGGTGGGGCTGTCATATCTGGGCAGCTGGCCGGGGTCCCCTCCCGGCCCCTCCCGGCTGCCTCTGCCGGGGATTGTGGGAGTGCAGGGAGCCGCTCACTAGAGGGGGCTCTGTCGGAGTGAGGTGCCCCACCCAACTGCTCCAAGCGATCTGTGGAGGGAAGCCAGGGGGTCAGTGCCCCCGCCCCGACAATGAACTACATTCCCCATTTATCCTTTGTCTCCCCTCCCCTCGGAGGTGGGACCCAGCCTGCTCTCCACCAGCCCCAGCTCCAAGTCCTACCCTCTCGGCACCCACTTAATCTTCAAGTCAGTGCAAGTGACACCGCTTCCCAGCCAAATGGGTCCTGCACCGCACAGACATATACAGACAACATGCAGGCACACTCACCGCCACACACATCTAGACCTCCTGACAGACCTGCTCAGGCGCCCAGCCCGCCCCCCACGTGCGCTTAGCATCCGCCACGCCAACCCCGTCAGGCGCCCCTTTCCTGGTTACTCGGGCGGCTGGGAAAATCCTACCGGGAGGACGGGGCAAGGAGCAAGGCGCTGCTCTGAGCCTGAACTCCTTCCGCAGGCCGCCTCTGCTCCCTCGCCCAAGCCACCTGGGACACACCGGCGGAGCTGCTCGCAGCCCAGAGGGATCCCCGTTGTTCTCCTACGGGCCAGGGCCTCGCTCGGAGCCGGGTCCCCACCGCGGCTCTGCGCGCCCGCGAGCGCCTCTGGGCCCTGGGAGACCGCGGAGCCAGCGATCGAGTGTTTCTGTTGGCAACACAGATGTATTTCTTTTATTTGGTAGTAAATAGAGCACGTGTGTGCACAGCAAACAGCAGCGAGACAGATATACACGGGCCCCGCCACGGGCGCTCACTCTGAGCCGGGACGTGCCCTCGGCCCGCTCCCGGCACGGCTGCCAGAGCCGGTGGCCACGTGCGAGCCCGCAGCGCCCTCCTCTCCTCGCTCCCAGCGCGCGCTGGAGGGCACAGCTGGGGACCGAGGAGGCCGGAAGGTCGGTAGGGTTTGCTCTCTCTTCTGCGGGCGCGTGCTGGCCGCCGAGGGCCTGGGCGAGGGGCGGGAGTCGGAACAATGGGGCCCTGAGCGCTGCGGGGCCCGGGAGAGGCCTCCCGCAGCGGCTGCCTGGGCCCGGGCACGCGCTCCTCCGCCGCCCCTTGGTGCGCCCTGGGCACCTGAGCTTCCGCGAGAGGCCCTGGAGGGCCGCCGACCGCCGCCCGCCCCGCCCGCCTCGAAGGCTCCCTGTTGCTGCGCCTCTCGCGGTGGTCACGCCCCGCGGCCCGGTGACCTGTCCTGGGGTCCGGTTCTCCTTAGCGCCCCAAACACGGACTCCGCAGCGCCGCTAGAAAAGACCTCTGTCACTGGGTCACCCCGACGGGATCAGAGTGCAAGACCCGTGAGCCCCACAGAAATCCCCGTTTGGGTCCAAATCGCAGCCGGGCAGCCCTGGGGGCCCCGCGGGGCCGGGCTCTGCTACAAGGCCCGACCGAGGCGACCCGCACGCCCCTCCTCACCGCTCCGCGCCCGCAGCCCTGCGCCGCCCGAGGACCCTCCCGGCGCGGGGGGTGGGGGTCTGTGCACACGCCTCTGGGGGTGCGCGCGCCCGTGTGTGCGCGCCCGTGTGAGCGCGCGTCCGTCTGGGTGAGCGGGCGGATGCGACCCTTTCTCCGCCAGCAGTGAGGTGCGGGGGGCGGAAGAAGGAAGGAACGGGCCGGTGGAAATGAGGCCGCTGCACTTTGAAGCCTGAGTGGAGGCCAGGGCTGCACTGGCCCCGGGCGCGCCTCTCCCGCGGAAGCAGCCGAGGCTTATGCGCTGGGAAGCCACAGCCACTGGGGCTCCGGTCTCCGCCTCGGTTCCTCCCACCCTCTACCTCCAGGAGCCGGATGAGCTCATGAGGCGTCGGGGCGGTTTTCCCCGACGTGAGACGAGGATAGGCAGGCCGCGCGCCTCCTCCGAGGTCCCCAGCGATGCACAGGGCTGCACTGCCCTCCTTCGGCTGCTGCTATAGGCGATGCATCTCGGGGGTGAAACTGCCCCAAATCTGCGTGGCCCGGGTTCCCAAAGGATCCCTTCCGGTTGTGGTGGACGGACGGAAAGGAGAAAGTGGGGGGGGTATGGGGGTGTCCAGCCGGCGAGTGGGAGCGCGCCCAGAGCGCCTGTGCCCATCACCTCGCCAGAAGCCAGAGGTGTACTCACCTGGTGTGCCTCTCCCCAGCGCCAACGTCTTAAAGAAACAGAAAGAATCCCCTTTCCTCCTGCGCCCCCCCCCCCGCCCCCTGGGTGACGGAGTGCACGCATCAGATTTTCATCAAAGTTCTATTAAGTGAAACATAGGTTGTAGGGCACCCTTTGATTGAAACAGTTTAAATTTTAATTGTGTTTTTAATTTGACATATAGTTGCAGAAAGGAATGACACTGCGTCGCCAAGGGGCGGTCGATTTTCTTAATTTCTCCCAGAGGAATTGATGAGTCTATCAGGGCCACTAGATTGGAAACCCATTAAAGCTCTCTGGTTAGCCTGTTAATTGGAACTTGATGGATGGGGGGTGGGGGTGGGGTGTCGGGACTCAGCTCTCCTGATCCAATCTTCAGGACTTTCTGTTTTCCAATAAATTACAGAATTCATTTTCCAGCCGCAGATTACATAAATTGTCCACCTCTGGGCTCTCTTTTTCAAAGGGGGAGCCCCCCCCCCACAAAGCCCATTGCGAGATGTCATTTGCACCAAAGAACGAACAGCAGAGGCCCTTGAATGAAAATCGAAACATAATCAACGTTTATACTTAGAAAATTTATTGAGATCATTTTCTCTGGTATTTCCTTATTTTAAAGTTTGGACGCGCCATATATCATAATCCACTGGCGTGGGGGGGGGGGGTCAGACTGTGTTTAATATTTATCGAAGCTTGATTCCAAGATCAAACTTGTTTATGACTTCATCTGTCATTTCCCGGGAGCCTTCTTCCACTATTACCGGCTCAGCCAGCCCGTGGCCCCTCTGCCCGAGCGCAGAGGATCAATTTTTATTAGCCTCCTCCGCGAGGTTGCTCTGGGCCGCTGTAACACTGCGCAGCGGCATAATCTCCAGACCTAAACTTTAAGCGTCCTTTCATTCTGGGAAAGTTTGTCATTCCTCGGAACCCGTTATGCCTCATTCCTCAGGGGAGGGGGTCCACCCGGCCCCCTTCATGAAGGGGGGGGGTGCTCCAGGGTAGCGGCTGTGAACCCCAGTGGAGCTGGGAGGGGCTCGCTCCCCAGAGACCAGGAGGGTGGGGCGCAGGCGGCGCTGAGGTGAAGGATTGCGCACGCGGGGTAGAGACCGGGGACCTGTGGGCGGTGGTTGATACTTAGGAAATTTGTTAAGATCATTACTAGATGATCCTGGAGCGGCGGGAGGGCTCCTGGGGGTGTGTTTTGCAGCTGCGCTGGGCCCCTGAGAACGCGCCTGGGCCTCTGCGCTCTGGGCGAGCCTGGGGGACCCTTGGATGCCCCAAGGGAGGGCGGGAACAGCGTGTCTTGGCCCTCAGCGCCTGCGTGTGACTGCGGTCGGTCGGTGCACAGGGCGGGAGGCCCCCAGGGGACCAGTTGAGGGGAGCAGAGCAGAGGCCAGGGGGTTGGAGCCAGAGGTCTCTCCAGCCTCCACCTGCCTCCCCGGCTCCACCCTGCACCCCTGTCACTTCCCTGTTTAGTGTGGAGGCGTGTGCGCCTGTGTGCGTGTGCGTGTGTAAGCGGTTCTGCAAGTGCGTGCCTGCTGCTCAAAGTGGAAGCCTCTGACGAGGTGTGGGGTGTGGGGAGGGGGTGGAGGATGTGGGGTGTGGGTGGAGGAGGCTGTGCTGGGCGGCGGGAGCGCACCTCAGGGTAGACCAGACGGTCCGCGAGTGGGCGTGGCCGCGGGCGGAGTAGGAGGCCAGATGGCTCCTTTCACCTTTGAAACCTGCCGGCGGCCCCTGTGTGGGGTGAGAGGTCGGGTCGCAAGGCTGGTTGTTTCCCAGGTAGAGTCCTCTGTGGCCTAGTGCCTCCCGCGCCCAGCCTTGGGGCCTGCTTCTCCCAGGCCCACCCCAAAGGCCTGGCTACCCCCCATCCCTTGACCCCACACACAGATCCACCCCCACGTCCTGAGAGGGGAGGCTCTTCAGTTTTCTTCGCAGCCATTCCCTAAGCCCAGTGCCCAGGGCCTGGTATTCACAGCGGAACCACCTTGAACTTCAGTCCTGCTCCCTCTGCTTGGCTGGGCACTGTTTTGAGCCTCAGTTTCCCGCCTTTACATTGGGGGCAAGGACCCGCAGCACAGGTTCGCTGTGAGGGTTAAAGTGCCAAAGGAGAGGATGCCCCCCCACACCCCCGTGCTCCTGGTGGCCGGGACCAGTTTCCACCTGCGCAGAGGGTTCAGCCAGCCTCTCCCCTCTCCACCTCCCTCTTCCCCAGTGCGGGGCGGCGCCCAGTGAGGGTGCCTGTGGCAGGCGGAGAGGCCGCAGGCGGGTGAGAAAGTCGGGTGCTCCTTCCCAGGACCCTCCCCTCTGCCCCCCGAGCGGGTGGGAGCGGGTGAGGTCCTGCACCGTGGCCCCGGAGCCTGCGCACTGTGGCCAAGCTGAGGAGGCCGCGCAAATTGTATTCCAGCGCCGGGTCCTTCCGGGTTAATGAGCTGACAGCGTGGTGAAAGCCGACCATTTGTAATGTGTCTCGACCCGCCGCCGAGCCCCGAAGAGGTTAATGCGGTGACGGAGGCCGGCACCTGCCCCTCGCCGGCCTCCTGGGCCGTGGCGCACAGCCCTGGCCTCCCCGCCCCTCGCCGGCCCGCACCCCGGCTGCGCAGCCGACTCCTAATCAATTAGCCCATTAACGAGCCCTCGGAGGAGTGGAGGAGCGAGAGGGCCTGCCACCGGCCGGCTGCAGTCGCTACCGCCCCGCTGCTAATGATACCATGAGCACTCGACTCCCAGACGCGGGCGTGGCGGGCGAGGCGGGAACTGCACCGTCATGGCGCAGTTCTGGACACGGACACGGGTGGGCACTGATCCAGAGCCTCCTGTCACCCTGGGCTGCATTTGGAGACCTAGGTGCAGAGCTTCCGGGTCGGTCTTTTGCTGGATCGGTCAGAGGCGAGGCCGCAGACCCGGGAGGTGGGGTTGCCTGAGCACCTGGGGGCCTCGCCTCACCTTCGAAGCTTCTGCAGACAACTGCGCGCCCAGGCCGTCTCGGCCTCAGCCCGGCTCGGCCTAGATCCGGGAGCAGCTCACCTGGGGATTAAAGAGGCGAGAGCCAGGGCTCAGGGGCTGTGAGGAGCCAGGTGATGGAGTGCCTACCGTGTGCCGGGGAGTGGGGCGCTTCGGCCTCCCAGGGCTTCCTCGAGGGAGGCATGGCTTCCCCCAGTTAAGAAGAGGAGACAGAGGCTCAGGAAGTTTAAGTGTCCTGTTCAAAATCGCCCAGGCCAGATGTGAAGCGACTTTGCCCAATTCTAACACCACGTCCCTGCCCGCCCCTCTTCTTCCCTGGAGCCAAGCGCTTGTTTCTGCAGCAGTTCCGCCTTCTCCTATATTTGCCAAAGAGGGGGAGGAAACAACCATAGCAAAATGGACCAGGATGGGTGTGGCCCAGTCAGCAAAGGTCTGCAGAGCTCCTACTGTGCACTCCCAGTGTTTCTAGCAGAGCTCCTACTGTGCGCTCCAGGTGCTTCTAGGACAGCTCCTACTGTGCGCTCCAGGTGCTTTTAGGACAGCTCCTACTGTGCGCTCCCGGTGCTTCTAGCAGAGCTCCTACTGTGCGCTCCAGGCGCTTCCGAGGGCATTTCCATTCCTACTTGAGGTGATCCCCGAAACAAGAGGGCAAGGGCGCTAAAGAGAAGTTCATTTAACGTCTGAGGCAACGAATCTCTGGTTGGGACTGGATTGTCCAAGTTCTCGCAACGCCAACTGCCGACAGCGGTGCGGGGACTGGATCCAGGATCCCTTGAAACCAGATCTAGGGCCCCGCCCCTGCCAGGCCCCACCGACCTTGAGGATCCTGCAGTGCCCGGGGGGCCTGGGACAGGGGTGGGGGTCTCCTCCTGGCTTCCCAGCTGAGCTCCCGGGAGCAGCCTCAGCTCCAAGGCGCATGCTCCGCCCCCTCCCCCCTCTCGCCCGAGGGGCGCGCGGGTCTGGGGGCTCCCAGCCCTGCTCGCTCGCGGACGAGGAGAGGTGGGAGGCTGGGGGAGGGTCGTGGAACAGCCCGTGCTGGCTCTTCAGGGAGTGCGGACCCGTCGCCTGCGAGAGGAGTCGGGCCACGCCCGCCCGGACTTCCGCGCAGTCCCTGCCCCTCGAGGAAGCGCGGCCCGCGCGGTTCCAGCCGGGCGGAGGCCGGGAACCTGGGCTGGAAGCGATGCTGCGCTGGGGCCCGGCTGCCCCGGGTTGGACACCGCCGATGCCCGCCCGGCTGTCGGCGCGCTACAGGGAGCACGGGCGCCGCTGGCCCGGCCTCGGCTTTTTGAAAATTTCCGGGGCCGCTCCGCGGCGCTGCGATTGGCCGCGTCCCGGTAACCTCTATGCAAATGAGGCCGCGCCGCCGCCGCGCCGCCGGGGACCGGGGAGCCGGCGGGCAGAGCAGGGGCGTCCGTGCTGGGGCCGGGCGGGCGCACCCAGAGCCCGGCGGGCAGGGACCCCGGCGCAGCCGTCCGGAGCCCGCGCGTCCCCCGCGCGGCGGGGTCGTCTCGCCAGCCTCGCCGCCCCCTCCCCCTGCCTCCCTCCCCGCCCCTCCCCCCGCCTGCCTTCCCGCACCACCTTCCCCTCCGACCGTCTCTAAAGGGAGTTGTTGGTTTCCTCCGATTTCTTATGAACCCAGGATGGGCAGCAAGGAAGATGCGGGCAAGAGGTGTCCGGCGGCCGGCGGCGTCTCCAGCTTCACCATTCAGTCCATCCTGGGCGGGGGCCCCTCCGAGGCACCGCGGGAGCCCGCCGGCTGGCCCGCCAGGAAGCGCAGCCTGTCCGTGTCCTCGGAGGAGGAGGAGCCGGACGACGGCTGGAAGGCGCCCGCCTGCTGCTGCCCGGACCCGCACGGCCCCCAGGAGCCCGGCCCCCAGCACCACCCCCCCATCCCCTTCCCTTGCCTGGGTAAGGACCGCGGCCGCCCCGCCGGCCGCCAGCGAGCTCTCGGGGAGGGAAACGGTGCTCTCGCGTCGGGCCCCGCTGGCCAGAGCCGTGGCCGCCGGGTCCCGGGTCCGAGGGCAGGAGACGCGCGCGGGGTACTGCCTCGTGGGCCCCGGGGTCTGGGGAGGAGACCGGGGCACAGACCGTGCGCGGTGTGGTCGCGGGAGGGCTGGGTTGCGGGAGAGGGAGCCGCAGCGGGCAGGGCGCCGAGCCGCGCGCAGTGCTCTGCCCTCAATAGCCCCAAGCGCGTCGGACACTTTGCCAGCACGAGGTCTGAGCGCGCGTCCGCGGCCCGCTCGTCTCCCGCGGTCTCTGTCCCTCCCTCCTCTCACGGTCTCCGTCTCTCCCTCTCCGCCCTGCCGAGACCAGGAGCCCCGCGAGATGATTGACAAGGGCGCCTTTCAGGGACGCTTCCTTCTCCCGGCAGCTGACGGGGGAGCCCCGCTAGTCCTCGGCGTGATTTCCGAACAAATGGCCTGTGAAATGGTGCCGCCCCATAAAGCTCGGGGAGCCCTTCGGGCCGCGTTCTTCCCAGGCAAACCCGCCGTTAAGAACGGCGCTCACGCTCCCGCCCGCCCGCCTCCCCGCGTCGCAGCTCCTCTCTCGGAGCGGGGCGCGCAGGGACCCCGGGCTGGCCGCAGCTGGGTCTCTCCCGGCGCTTTTCAAGGGCCGGGGCGCCGGGCTGTGGGCGCCAGCGAGAGGGAGGGGCTGGGACGAGGCTGCGTCCGGGCCAGCGCCGGGGTGTCTGACTTTCCCATCCCCAAGGTCTCCTTGTCTGTTCTCCCTCCCCAGGTGCCCCCAAGGGCAGCGGCGGCGCGGGGCCGGCGAGCTCGCCACACCTGCCTTTCCTTTCTCCTTCGCACCCGGACTTTAAGGAAGAGACGGAGAGGCTCCTGCCCGCGGGCTCGCCTTCGCCGGGCCCTGAGCGGCCGCGGGACAGCGGCGCCGAGCGGCCGGCGGGCGCCGCCAAGAAGAAGACGCGCACGGTCTTCTCGCGCAGCCAGGTGTACCAGCTCGAGTCCACCTTCGACATGAAGCGCTACCTGAGCAGCTCGGAGCGCGCCTGCCTGGCCTCCAGCCTGCAGCTCACCGAGACGCAGGTCAAGACTTGGTTCCAGAACCGGCGCAACAAGTGGAAGCGGCAGCTCTCGGCCGAGCTGGAGGCGGCCAACATGGCCCACGCGTCGGCGCAGACTCTGGTGGGGCTGCCGCTGGTGTTCCGGGACAGCTCGCTGCTGCGCGTGCCCGTGCCGCGCTCGCTCGCCTTCCCCGCGCCGCTCTACTACCCCGGCGGCAACCTCTCGGCCTTGCCGCTCTACAACCTCTACAACAAGCTCGACTACTGACCGCGCGCCCGGCCCCCGGCCCCCGGCCCCCGGCCCCCAGCTGCACGCGAGCCTGGCCCGCGCCGCCCGCTCCCAGGGCTGCTCCCCGGCTCCGGAGCAGGCGGCGTGTTGCCAGAAATATTAAGAAATACACCGTGTGTATTCATTCTCTCTTATTTATGGCCTCGCCCTCTTTCGTGGTAACTGTTTTGGGGACTTATCGGCACGCCTCAGGCCAGACCTGCTTTCTGCCCCAAACCAACCAGGATGCTCCGGACACCCAGGTGGCAGGGGTGTCGGGACTCCTGGGGTGGCGGGCAAGGGAGTTCCGGCCAAACCGGCGTTGATCGGTAGGAAAAGCCAACCAAACAAACAGGAAAACACCACCAACACCGGCACCCTGCTCCCCTCCACACGTCTGCATACATGTTCCTGCACACGCGGCCCGCACGCCAGCCCCTGGGGCTTCGGACAATGATCTCAACACCGCTTTTTCGTTTCCCTCGTCCCGAGGATGGGTGGGGCGAAAGGGTGAGGTTTCAGATCTGTAAATATTTTTAAAGAAAAAGAATAAACCATTTTAAGCATCCTTGCTAGCTGTAGTGCGTGCCTGGCGAGCTATCACGTGGAAGGGTTTCTCGCTTTGTGGTGGCGGGGCTTGGGGGGCGTGTTAGAAGGCGGACTCGCCCCGCGTGGAGGGAGGGGCTGGGATCAGGGGTTAAAGGTCGAGACACTAACTGGCGGCACGTGAGCTGGATCGTACCCGGTTCCACTCCCGAATCCAGTTCGGAACCCGCGCGGAGAGGGACACAGGCCGGGAGGCGGGCGGGTACCAGAGAGAGCGCCTTCCCAGCCCCCGGCCGCCCGGTGAGCCATCAGCCTGAGCTCCTCTGCAGGGCGCAGGCAGTGGGGGCGGCGGTGCCGGGACCTGGTAAGGAGCCCCTTGGCCCGCTCCCAGCTGGCGACAGGCCTGCAGCCGAGCCCAGCTCCCGGGCGGGTGGCGCAGCTGTGCGTTCGGTGGGGCGCTGGACGCGGGCGCGGGGGAGTGGCGCTTCGGCGGAGGAGGGCTCTGCGGCTGGACTCCCGGGGAGAAGGCGCGGGGGACGGGCGGGGGGCCGGGGGGGGGGGGCGGGCGAAGGCTCCTCTCCCGCGCAGTTTGTAGGTGGTGGTGTTTGCATTTATGCGGCTGAATAACGGCTGGCGGGCCAGTGCGTGGCTGCCCGCGTGGAATGAAAGCCGGGCGAGGCCTGGGCGCCCGCGGACGTCCGGTCCCAGCACCTGCGGTTCGCGCCAGCGGGGAGGGCGCGGCGCGGGGGGTACAGCGCGGGGCGGCATGCAAATCTCAAGTCTCCCAGGGCAGATCCAGCACCTGTTCCTCGTAAACGTCGGAAGAGGAAGCCTGAGTTTAGGGGTGACCGGTGGTTCGGTGTCACGTGAGACGAGCTCCAGCTCCAGAGACTCCTGCCTCCGACAGGGTTGGGGGTGGGAGGGTTGGGGGGACCCCTTAGCGGGTGCAAAGGCGCAGGGAGTTGGGTCTCTTCTCAAGAAGGGCAGCATGCGCGCGTGCGCTGTGCAAGTCCACGGAACACCTGCACCCCGCCCCCGTGACCCGCCACAGTCTGACTCTTGTCCAGGCTGAGGCCCTATTTTTTCTTCTCACGTGAGATTTCATAAAAACCACGATTTATTTCGAGGTGATGCCGGAAGGATGGTACCACGAACACTTCTGCCACCCCAAGTCCGTTCAGTTCATGTATTTCATTTCAATTGAGTCCAATTCAACATAGAGTTACTGGGCCCTACTACTTGCCCAGAACTGTGCTAAGTATGGGATATTTGGAGAGAGAAGGTGGCACTGGATCCATTTCCTTCTGATTGATTTGGTACATGTTTTTATTTACTGATTGATTTGAGAGAGGGAGGGAGAAGGAGGGAGAGGGAGGGAGGAGAGAGAGAGAGAAGGAGAGAGGGAGGGAGAGAGGGAGAGAGGGGGAGAAAGGGAAGGAGAGAGACAGAGGGAGGAAGGGAGAGAGAGGGAGGGAGGGAGAGACATGGATTTGTTGTTCCACTTCCTGATGCGTTCATTGGTTGATGCTTGAATGTGCCCTGACCAGAGATTGAACCGGGGTCTCTGGTGCGTGAGGAAGATGCTCTCTCAGCGGAGCTGCCGGCCAGGCTGGCACACCGATTTTATTCCAAGGACCTTCTCTCTTCCCCATGGCCCTTTCAATTCTTCCTTTCCTCTGAAGTTGCTATTTGAATATTTGATGCAGAAACAACCAAATGGCTTTCAAGGCACTACTTGCATAGGAATATCCCATCCGTACCATTGTCTGCACACCAACACCTTGTTTTTCTCGAGATGATGGTTTTAAAAGTGTTGGGTCGCTGCATCCTCCTTGGGTTTCTCTTACAGGAAGTGGTTTCCTCTGGCCCCGGTACTCACTGAATGGCAAAACCTGGCCCTTGGGATTTTAGGGCTGAGACCCCTTTACAGTTTGTCAGGTAGTGGGCATCCACTCTTTTACCAGTCGGGAAGTCAGCAGACAACGGGGCCCAACAGTGCCGTCAGCTTCTAGGAATTCCTCTCTTACAGGCATTACCACACACACACACACACACACACACACACACACACACCCCTTTGCATTTGGATTTAAAATGTTCAAGACTCCATCTTGGCCAGATTCCCTATCTCATGACCATCAATTCATTTGAATAATCAGCCAAATCATCCGCCTCCTTTCAGGGTCTAAACTGGATTTAAAAGATTGACGTTTCTTAAAACTCAAATGGAGTCTGGTTGCAACTGCATGCCCAGAGGGACCTGACTCATACACCAGTGGATAATGAAATACACTTAGATTTTATTAGTGGATAATTCATGCTCAGAATCTCGAAGCACTAATATAATTAAATAAGCAATGGGGAGAAGGAACTAAATAAAATTATTTGGGCATAAAATTATTTAGCTAAAGTTAGAGTGGAGGCGAGGCCCTGTATTTTAAAACTCTTAACCTAGCCATTAACTTGTTGAAAGAGAAGAGAGAGAGAGAGCCCAGTGTGAGGCCTGGTGAGGAGGGAGGGCAAGAATCCGACCTTTTAGCAGCCGCATTACCACACAGTGGGGAGACGAGTGGTGGGGTGTGCATTTATTGTGTCAAGAATCCGAAAACGATGTGCACCCACGTCAGCGTGAATGCATAAAGACCGATCTTTTCCCCTCTATTCAATGCACCTTAGAAGTAATGCACTTTAACCTCAACAATTTCCTCTCACTTTATACTGAGTTACATAATAACACAGGTGGTTTTTTTTTTTTTTTTTTTTTTTTTTTTTTTTTTTTTTTTTTTTTCCACAAAAGGCAGTGAAAAAGAGGTTCTAGCATGGATTACCTTGAAAAACTTCAGTGTTTTTGATGTTTAAGAGTCACGGAGTCACAGCATTCTAGTCACAAATTAGGCATTGCCTTTCTTCCACGGAGACCAAATGGTTTCTTATTACAGAGGCAGCCTTCTTGGCTATTCTATTTGTGGAGGATTCTAGAAACTGAAAATGGAGCGAACGGAGCTCAAAAGTCTGGGGAGTTGTTGGGGTGGGGAGGTGGGTAGGGAGAAGCTTGTAGCTGGCATTTTAAGACCCCATTTTAACGTATGTCTAAAAGAAGCTTTTGAACTTTAACACATTGCAAATTATTTGATCGCCAGTCTGTCCGCCCGGCTGGACAGGGAGTTCCTCCAGTGCAAGGACTGGTCTGATTAATGCATCTTCCCAGCCGCTCACCAGGCCTGGCACACAGCAGGCACGCAAATGTTTGTGGAAAGAGGCAATAGAGAGGTAAAGCATAATATAAATATATATGAGTTCCTATTAGGTCAATTGGAAATGAGAGACCCTGGTTCATAGGTGGAAGCTCCAGGACAATGAGAAAAAAAACTCAGGGCAAAATAATGCAATTCATTAAATATTTCCTTCTCTATTCCAATTTTTGATTACCTTCATGAGTATATGTATGTCCATTGAAAGGGAGAATAACTTAGTTTTATAGAAATATTGACCAAAATGGGGTTCTTGTGTCTTCAAAAATTAACTCAGATGGGGAGGGAGCTACGCTTTGAACCCCAAAGAGCATCTTTCCCTCCTACTCAGTATTTAAGGACTGGAAGGACGGCGGTCCTAGGGAGACTACATCCCCCAGCGTGCCGCACACGGGTCCGAGAAGGCGTAAACCCAGTCTTGGCGCGATGCTCTTTGGGAGTTGTAGTTTTCACTCGGTCAGCACTAGCCGGGGGGTGCCTCAGCTCAGCGGCACTGCGAGACCACGTGATCGGAAAAGCCGCGGTTTGCCTTTGAGCCGGAAGAGGATGACTGCGTTGACCGACGCCCGAGCGGACCAATCGTCTGCCTAGACTGAGACGTTGGCGTTTGAAATCAGCCAATGGCAGGCGAACACTGGAGCTTCCTCCCCGCCCACCTGGCCCAGCCCGCGAGAGCTCGGAGCGCGGCGAGGCGGCGGGAGTGGCGGCCCAGTTGATTCTGCGGGGAAGTCAAGGTAGCGGGCCGGGCGGCGGGGCGCACCAGCGGGCTCCCGGGGCGCGGGGCTGGCGGGGCCGGGGGGCCGTCCGCAGGGAGCCCGCTTCGCTTCCATCCCTTTCCTTTCATTTTAGGAGCTTTTAGCCCCAGGGGGAGGGGCCGAGGTGCGGAGCCCGCGGCGGGGGAGGGCGCGGGGGCCCCGCCGGGCTGGAGTCGGGGTGCGGAGGAGCGGGCCGGGGACGGGCGGCGGGGGTAGGGGAGACCCACCGTGGGCGGGCGGGTGGGTGGGGGATGGGGAGTCCGTGCGCGGTGGGCGCGCGCTCTGCGCAGGCGCGGGGGCCCCCGGTCCCCGAGGTTCTCCGGATCCTTTTCCTGCGCGGTCCCCCGAGCCCGGCCCGTCCCGGCCCCGTGCGCGTCCGCGTCCCGGGCCTCTGACCGCCGCCTGCTCCTAGATGACCGGCTCTAACGAGTTCAAGCTGAACCAGCCGCCCGAGGACGGCATCTCGTCGGTGAAGTTCAGCCCCAACACGTCGCAGTTCCTGCTGGTGTCGTCCTGGGACACGTCGGTGCGGCTCTACGACGTGCCGGCCAACTCGCTGCGGCTCAAGTACCAGCACTCGGGCGCCGTCCTGGACTGCGCCTTCTACGTACGTGTCCGCCCCGCCGCCGGGGGTCCCGGGCCGCCCTGGGCTGTTCCCCGACGCCTGCCTCGGCGGGGGGACGTGCAGACGTCGGGAACCCCGTCCCCCCGGAAAGGTGGAGTGAGCAGCCCCGGCCCGGGACCGTTGTGTTGGACCCGTGCCCCCCGACGTGCAGGAGGGGCGGTTGCTGCTGACCCCGACGGCAGTGTCCGGGCGCTTAGGGGCTTGCTTTTGTGAGCTGTGCGTTTTGCTGAGAGTTAAGGCCCGCGGACGTCACCCTGAGCACAGACAGCAGCTGGCTGGGATTTGCAAACCGTCTCTAAAGCTCTGTTCGTTTTAAATGACCCGAAACTTTATTTTGTAGGACCCAACACACGCCTGGAGCGGGGGATTAGATAATCAGTTGAAAATGCATGACCTGAACACTGATCAAGGTAAGCCCGCCTCCCGTCAGGTCAGCCTGTGTGCCGCCGGTGTGCTAGGGCGCAGGTGCTTCCGGGGAGAGGGGTGTGGGACTGCCTGATGCTCCGTGGGTTCGGTACCGGCACAGGTGCTTACCCTTAGGACTTTCTGTTCAAATGATTGGACCAGTAAGTTACTGATCCCAACACTGTGTGTGTGTTTCCTCAGTGAGGCCCATCCCCCTCCCCCTCCCCCTCCCCCACCACCTCCACCCCCACCCCCCTCCCCGTCCCCGATCCCAACCCCACCCCTACCCCCACTGCTTACAGGAGGGCACCTAGGTCTTTGCCTTCGACCTGGTCCTCAGAGGTGGGCTGGCAGCTTCCAGGATGGACTGGTGTTTCAGTTCTCCTTTCAGAGGCCAGTTTAATGTACATGGAGGGAGGGTAGGTTTTAAAAAGTCTAATGTTCTGAAATAAAACAGCCACCTTGTCCAGGGACTGTTAATCCTACTCGCGTCGTTACTTAGCAGAGAACGGGCTTCAGTTGCATTTATTGACTGACAACAGGCTGGCACGTTATCTCTTAGTTAATTGTCGCGTAGGGGCCAGGTCGCAAGTGACTTACCCACATGCTTAGGGTGACTTTGGTGCGGAGCAGAGCGTGGTGGAGCCAAGTGCAGGGAGCTCAGGCAGAGCTGATTATCTTTGCTTTTTGGGGTTTGGTGTGTACGCATGCGTTAGACAAAGATGTATTGGAAGCAGACGCATGCCACAGATGTGACTAGGGGAGTGGTTGGGCAGTGGGAGGATGGGTAGAGGAAGGGCACAATATTGTGTCAAAAAAAGTAACCCAGTTAGAAGAGGCCTTTGCAGGAAAGCCCCTTGGCATGGTCTCTGGCAGATGCATGCGTGGTTTTGCTTGCCAGCAGCTTATTCCACAGAGTAAGTTAGTTTGCAGGTTTAGGTCCTGTTTGTTCAAAAGCAGGAAAGAACACTGAAAAGCAAACTTAAAAACATTTTCTATGCTGGAGACCATCATTGAGGGAATTAGCTGTTTATTTTCCAAAGTTCATTGCCTGACTTGAGCTGTTTTCTTTTTTAAATGATATATATTTTTAAACAAGCAGCTTTCCTGTTTGAGGATCAAGACCACTTACTGTTCTTTATTGTATCCTGAGCATTTGGCATAGATGCCGGCACCTAGTAGACTTTCAGTAGATGCTAATTGGATGAATGAATGAGATAGTGAAGAGTTGAAATTGAAAGGGAAGAAATTATATTGGAAATTTGACCCATCGTGCAAACCAAGTGAATTAGTCATAAGATTCCATGCTTTCTTCATCTCCAGGTCTCAGATCATCTGTTGCCACTTTAGTAAGTTTTTTATAAGCATTGGCTTAATTTGATGAGTTTTATTCAGGTCCAGAAGACAAGTTACCTGCTCATGTCTTTATTCAGCGTGCATTTCTTGAGCACCTACCATATATCAGAATTAGATACAGTCATAACTACAGAGGTAAACAAGGTCCCCTACTTAAAGGAATCCAGAATCAAGTGAGGACAATGAGATGTGCTGTCATTTTAACGCAATCTGAAGTTCCAGTGAGCTCCTGAGACGCACCATGCCAGGGGGTCAAACTGCTGTAAGGCGAGCAGGGGCGTGGCGGCTCTTCCTGGCCCCGGGGAACCCTCCTTTCTGTGCGCAGTTACTCCCTTAGCGTGGGTGGAAGTGGATTCCTTACAGCGGTCGAGTGCTTCCCTCTGCTCATTTGAATCGGTGTAGCAGGCGTGGTTAACTAGGTGTGTGTTGTGTTTTCCTGTAGAAAACCTCGTCGGGACTCATGATGCCCCTATCAGATGTGTTGAATACTGCCCAGAAGTCAACGTGATGGTTACTGGGAGCTGGGATCAGACCGTGAAGTTGTGGGACCCCAGGACTCCTTGCAATGCTGGCACCTTCTCTCAGCCTGAAAAGGTAGGCTCTTCATGCTCATGGCAGCAGTTATGGTCCTGGCGACTTGGTACAGGAGAGATGAATATTGACACAGAGGTTGAGGCTGCACGGTTTATTTTATAAACCCAAATTCATAGAAGTGTTTTCATGCAAAGGAAAATTTATTTTGTTTATCTTTTTTCTGTCTTGGAGAACAGTAGCCTGAGTGACAAATGTCGGGTGTGCTAGTGCCTCCTACCCCAGGCCTGAGGTTTCAGAGGAGGCGGGCAGCAAAGCCGGCTCAGGCCACAGCGGGGCGGGTGGGAGCATCACTCATTCGCTCAGGACTGAGGCTGCATTGGCGTTTATTGTTAGCATTTCAAATGTGGTGAGAGCCGGGGCTTCTGTCCCTGGCTTTTACCAGTTATTTATTTTTAATACTGACAGGCGTGGTTGGAAGGCTCTACTGAACCAAGCTGCTTAAAACTGAGTCTCTGTGTCTTATTCTAACCTTTGATCTGGACAATCTGTACAGTGCGCATGGAATCGCGCATTCTCGCTGCATCCTCATCAGACGTGACCAGGTGGTAGTTAATTTTAGAGATGGATTGTTTGAGCAGTTCAGCGGTATCCTTCACGGGGTCTATTTCCTCCGTGTAAACAGCCTCGGCTCCCGGTAGCCGTGGTTATATACTGGAGTGCATCCAAAGAGCCATTAGTTTTGTCACTTCAGAGTCGAATCTACAACCTGGCAAGACCTTTGTTCAGAATGAAATAATTGCATTGTTTCTAGTTTTGATATATGGTTGCATGTAACATGTTAAGAGCTGTGATAAATTGCTGACAGAATATCATGTAATGGACAGCCACACTGAATCAAGCTGCTTATTGGTTCAGCGAGGTTCATTATGTCAGTTTTTTTAATACTTCCTTTGATAGATGTGTAGACCTCGTCAGTAGCCTGACAGTGGCTTCCCGTGATTGATGATCGGTGGGGATAGAAAGCACTGAGACTCCCGTGTCACCTGTATAAAGATTGTCCCATTATAAATTGATTTCTTTCTGGGTTCTGTGTTTTTTAAGTTTGGTGTTTTATGTGACTTAGGTTAATTTCTATTTTCTACAAACATCTTGTTTTTTGAATAAACTATGGTTTATTTAAGTATGTCTATATTTAAGTATGTCTGTATTAAATCTGTTTTGAATCTTTTTAATTCCTTATTTTTTCCCTTGGTCAAAATAGTTGTTGAATTTTAAGGCCAGATTGTGGTGATATTGGGTTGTTGCATTGTTAATCCTAACTTGTTTTTTTGTGTTTTTTTTTTTTGACTGCTGGTATGTAGTTAACCTATTAATGATGATTAACCATGTGGCTTAATGTGTTAAAGGGATGTCTTACCATGATACAGGCCTTACCATTTTTTATAATGATTCTTCAGGTGTTAAAATATTACATCAGGTTAGAGTTGCTAAAAAATAAATTTAGAGCTGCTCATTAACAGGGAGAAATAATCAGAGGAACAATTTGTATTTGAAGTCTAGATTAGAAAAAGATTTAGATGATCAGAAAAATACATTTTACCACCATTTTCAAGAATTTGCTGTCTGGATTTCCGAATACATATTTGAAAGTAACACTTTTAAATGCTCGCGTATATTTATTATTTATTACAAAGGAATTTTTGTGGAAGTTTTTTTAATATTGAAAAGTGGCATTATGAGGGAAGAATACTTAGATGGGAGAAAATGCTTTTTAAATTTTTCCTAAAGATGGACTCTGTCTTGCATGTTCGCTCTGATGTCCGGGCACAAGGATTTGCTTTGTCATGTGCCCGACCCCTGTTCTTCCCTTTCAGTTTTAGTTCATGTGCCACCAAAGCAGCCAATGAAGGCGGCTCCGCCCTCTCCCTGGACAGGCCTGTTCTGTAGTTGGACAGCTGGGAAGTCAGGGTCCGAAGTCTTGTTCCAGAGGTGGTCACAGAAAAGCAACTTGAAAATGATGGTCTGAAAGGCCAGAGCCCCTGGAAAGGCGTCTTGAGTTGTTTTTTGCTTTATTGTCTCCTTCCTGAGTATTTTTATACTTTGATCTTGTCACTAAATGAAACAGGTTGGAAAGGTTGTTTAAAAATTTAATTTGTTTTAGGAATGAGAATTCCTCAAAAGTGTTTTTGGAATTAACTAGAGTGTACATCATACGACACTTGGTTAAGTATTAAGAATATCTTGGGGTTATTATTTTGTATGGATTAGTTGGTTTGTGTAACTATAGTATTTAAAATGGTATTTAAAATTTGGTACCTGTGTGTGGGAACCTGATGAGCTAACTTTTTTATGGTTTTAGGATTGGTGGGTTTTATTTTGGGGCAGAATGTCATTTTTAGGCAAGTAGACGAGCTTTACAAGTTTTGGTCTTCCCTGAAGGTGTACACCCTCTCGGTCTCTGGAGACAGGCTGATCGTGGGCACGGCGGGCCGCAGGGTGCTGGTGTGGGACCTGCGCAACATGGGCTACGTGCAGCAGCGCCGCGAGTCCAGCCTCAAGTACCAGACACGCTGCATCCGGGCCTTTCCCAACAAGCAGGTGCTGGCCTCGCCCCTGGCCCCTCGCCCCGCGCCCCTCGCCCCTCGCCCCTCGCCCCGCGCCCCGCGCCCCTCGCCCCTCGCCCCTCGCCCCGCGCCCCGCGCCCCGCGCCCCTCGCCCCTCGCCCCGCGCCCCTCGCCCCTCGCCCCTCACCCCGCGCCCCTCGCCCCTCGCCCCTCGCCCCTCGCCCCGCGCCCCGCGCCCCTCGCCCCGCGCCCCTCGCCCAGGTGTTGGGATTTGTAAATAGGTTCTTCTCTAATGATTTGCTCGCTGGCTTTTAAAAACTCTGTCCTTTCTTTGGAGTAGAGATTTAGAAATTGTTAGGATGTTTTGACATCCTTTGTTAAAAGGGAGTGTGTTGACCCAGTTTTAGAGATGACCTTGATGTTCAGGGAGGCCGAATAATTCGCCAGCAGTCTGATAGAATCTCCTGATTTCTTGCTGATCCTGGTTCAGGAGGCTGGACAGACACAGTAATCAAGGAGAGCCTTATTTCAGTTTACACGCCAGTGAATTCAAACTTGAATCTGGAAACTAAGGGCTATGGGATTTGCTGTTCTCTCTCTCTTTTTTGTAACGGAGTTCTTCCGCGAGTGTAGCAGCGGAACGGGGAGTTTTAGACGCACGCCCCTGCGTTAGAGAGGCAGTGCCCTCTCACACTGACTCCATGTACGGGGTCAGCCTTTCCTCACCTGCTAATGAGCTTGCCTTGTGCAGGGTGAGCCCCTCTCCCTGCAGGCCCTCGGGAGTGGAGGCGTGGTCAGCGGCCTACACACAGCCCGTCCGGGAGTCCTCGTGTCCTTCGCGGCTGGGGGGCTGAGGCAGTGATGTCAGCGAGGCTCTGCTCCTTTAGCTGGAAGGCGAGGGCCTCAAACGGGGGCCACATTTTTTCCTTCAAAATACTGTCAATTTCCATTGAAAACAAGGAATTGCAGTTACTTCAAACTTAGAGATTTAACTACATGAGTAAAATATGCTTGCATTTTAAATATTTTTACGTCATATGTAAAGTTTTGTCAGCGCATTTCTCCAGTTTATACTGGAAGTTTAACTGAAAGTAAGATTTGACTGATTTTCTTGTCTCCATAAGTAGTTTTTCAATAGGAAATCTTTTTTATACCTTGAAGAATCAAACAGCTTTTATATTTTTTTTTGTCTTTTACTTTGACATAAAAAACAAGTGATGGTAGTCTTATTTTTTTAATAAAACCAAGTCTTAGTGTTGTGAAATTTTGGAATAGTTGTAACTCTTAGTCCAGCTCCAGCACTTGGTTGCCACCTGGCCATCGTTTCTGAAGTCACCTGTCTCGGTGGGGGGATGTGGGTGTGGGGGCCGGGGCCTGCGCCTGGCCATCGTTTCTGAAGTCACCTGTATCGGTGGGGGGATGTGGGTGTGGGGGCCGGGGCCTGCGCCTGGCCATCGTTTCTGAAGTCACCTTTCTCGGTGGGGGGATGTGGGTGTGGGGGCCGGGGCCTGCACCTGGCCATCGTTTCTGAAGTCACCTTTCTCGGTGGGGGGATGTGGGTGTCGGGGCCGGGGCCTGCGCGTGGACTCACCATCTCGGCTTCTCTGGTTCCCTCTGGGCAGGGCTATGTGTTGAGCTCTATCGAAGGCCGCGTGGCGGTGGAGTACTTGGACCCAAGCCCTGAGGTGCAGAAGAAGAAGTATGCCTTCAAGTGTCACCGGCTGAAAGAGAACAACATTGAGCACATCTACCCGGTCAATGCCATTTCCTTCCACAACATCCACAACACGTTTGCCACAGGTGAAGGCCGCCTGCTGACCTGTCGGCAGCCCAGGGAGCGGGAGCTCGCGGGGACCACTAGAGGTTGATGCGCAGCAGAGCTTTTAAAGGGTCGTGCTTGCCTTTGACATTGAGAGGGAGCCAACCTGGCACCGTGCTTCTTGGGGAAAGCGTTCTCTGTGTGATCTTAAAAAGAACCATTTGTGACCATAATGGTTATTTCTGGACCTGCTTTTAAGGATCATTTTGACTTTTCCAAAATTATTTGCAGGTGGTTCTGATGGATTTGTAAATATTTGGGATCCGTTTAACAAAAAGCGACTGTGCCAGTTCCATCGGTACCCCACCAGCATCGCGTCCCTGGCCTTCAGCAACGATGGCACGACGCTGGCAATTGCATCATCATATATGTATGAAATGGACGACACGGAGCATCCCGAAGACGGTATCTTCATTCGCCAAGTGACAGATGCAGAAACAAAACCCAAGTGAGTACGCTTCACCTGTGTTTGAGCCTTTGCTTGCATTCAGCCCAGGGCTTATTAATTTTTCTAAATTCATGAATAGCGTTGTTGATGCCTGCTTGATAGTGCAGCGACTGTGGGGTGGGAGTTGATTTTATCGTGTTCTCCCAAGCTTTCAATATCCGTGGGTTGATAGACGTCTGATGGATAAAATTGTGCCTGGTTGTTCTGTAGGGAAGAATGTCAAACCCTCGTTCTTCTTGAATAGGCCCTGTTATTGGAGTCTCGGGGGTTATTACTAGCTCATTGCTTGAAAATTAAGTTGAGGAATTCAAGAATAATTTATTGAAGCAAATTCTATGTAAGATATTTAAACGGGAACTGTCCAGAGCTTTCCCCTCCACAGAGGTTGTCTCTGTGATGTTTACACAGAGTGAATGGCCTCAGGTGATTGCAGACAGAGTGAGGTGGCCCTGCCTGGGACAGCACAGTCCCTTCGTGCTGACATGTCGTCCATCTCCTTGGCCCTTGGTTGACAGAGGAGCCATTCACCGTGGGGTGCCAACAGGGCAGCGCTTTCCTTAATGACCGGCACAGGCTCAGGGCAGCTGATGCCGAGGCCTTTGTAACCTGTGAACCACCTCCTGGGTCCCGTCCTGTCCCGTGTCCCTTGGCACCAGGCCCTGCAGGAAGTCCTTGGGCATGTGCTCAGGCTCCCTCTCTTCCCGAATGGAGATGGTCTAGCACAGGGGTGGGCAAACTGTTTGACTCGAGGGCCACAATGGGTTCTTAAACTGGACCGGAGGCCGGAACAAAAGCATGGATGGAGTGTTTGTGTGAACTAATATAAATTCAAAGTAAACATCATTACATAAAAGGGTACGGTCTTTTTTTTCAATAGTTTTATTCATTTCAAACGGGCCGGACCTGGCCCGCGGGCCGTAGTTTGCCCACGGCTGGTCTAGCACCTCGCGCCCTTGCTGTCAAGTTGAGTCTCTTCGAGGGGCAGAGTATGAATACTGACCATCATTGTACTTGTACGGACTTGACTGGAGAGAGGCTTGCAGGTGACGTCTGTGGTAAAGGCTGTGCTTGCATTTGCGCGCTCTCTGCCCCCCCTCACCCCCACCCCCCCATCTCTCATCTCTCGTCTCTCGTCCTGGCCGGCCATGCTGATCTCATGCTGTTCTTTTTTGAACTTGTAGGCCACCATGTACTTGACAAGATTTCATTTACTTAAGTGCCATGTTGATGATGATAAAACAGTTCCTACTCTCTAATGGTGGATTTATTACTATTAACAAAGAAACCGGAGAAAACATTAATTTTAATATTATAGGAACCTACAAATAACGGATAAGAGGTTTTTATTGATTTTGTTTGTAAACAAACACTTTTCTTAAGTGCATGAGATGGCTTGGTGGTTTGCCGTGTTAAAGGTATTCGGGCAAACGAAATTGGAGGCAGTGACTGTGCTTTTGAGAGTCAGTCTGACCTTGCTGGTTTTGTTTCCGTGTGGCAGTAAATGTGTGTAAAGAAATATAGGTAATAAAATCCCTTTGCATTTTCTTCTGGACCTTAAATGCTAGAGGAAAGGCGGCTCTTTCTGCTGCTGGTTACAGTTGCTCATTCTCAAGCTGCTCAGACTGCCTCATGAGGAGGTTAATCTACAATTAAACAGTATTTCCTCCTGGCCGTCCATTATCTTCTGAAGCAGATGGTTCATCATTTCCTGGGCTGTTAAACAAAGCGAGGTTAAGGTTAGACTCTGGGGAATCAGCTAGTTTTCAATCTTATTAGGGTGCAGGAGGAAAACTAATAAGAAAACCTCCTAACATCATTTGGTGACTGTAAACAATTATTTATTAGCAAACAATTGATCCCAGAAGGGCGAATTGTTTGAGTCAGTAATGAGCTGAGAAAAGACAGAGCATATCTGTGTATTTGGAAAAATAATTGTAACGTAATTGCAGTACATTTAGACAGGCATCTATTTGGACCTGTTTCTGTCTCTAAATGAGTTTTGGGAAACATTAATGAGGTTTACATATTTTTCTGACATTTATATAGTTCTCATGTCCATTTCAGTTGCCCAGCCGCTGGTGATTACAGTTAAAAAGAAAAAATGATTGTGAGAACGCGATTCATTTCAGTGCGATGCCTGCAGCAGGGCACGCACTCGGCGGCCTGTTCTCGGGGCTTCCAGGGCCTTTGGGGCGGGTGCCGGTTTGCTCATACGCAGGTGGAGGTTCTGAAAGGGCCTGGGCCTTCACTGAATGTGTTTGGTCCGTGATGTGTGTAAGACATGGTTCTGATGCTGAGAAAGGTCTCATTTTGGTCTTCAGTGTTTCAGTGAGAACTCAGTGTGCGTCCGAACCTGCCTTTTGAACCGTATTTTCTCATTGCAGGTCCACCTAACCGTCTGCGCAAGTGGCTTCCCTGCGGAAAGCTTGGCTTTCCTCCCCGGGGCGCACTGCAGTGTGGGCCCCCTCTCCCCCACCCAGGGGTGTGCTCTGCCCGACGCTGCTCGCCTGCCCTCGGGCCTGGGCGGGGAGTCTCGTCCCGGGCAGTGGTCGGTCGGAAGGACCGTCTCTCCGCAGGCCCCGGCGCTTCTCCTGAGCAGCTTGAGCTCTTTTTATCAGATCACCTGACCCTGTCCCGCTGTCTAATAAAGCCGAGACGCAGACTCCCGTGCCGGATGGTGGTAAATGTGGGTGATGGATGTGAGTGACTGGTAAAGGCAGAGCTCCTCCATCGGGCCTGGTGGGCAGACATGGTGCCTCGGCCACGCTCCTCCCTCTGTGCTGCTGGAGGCGGGCCTGGGAAGGCGCTGTCCTGGGGTCCTGGCTCCCTCGCGCCCTCTCGCTGGATCAGCGGGCCCCTGAGTCAATGGCAGCCCTGCAGGGTGGCACAGCCGCTGCGGGACCACGGGCGCCCTTCACAGGCCTCTCCGGGAAGTGCTGGTGCGCGGAGCTCACGCTGCTCGGGTCCCACCCCGTGACAGGCCGTCTGGGATCCGTCACCCGCTGCGTCACCGCAAAGCCCCGGGATGTAAACGATGTCACGGCCGTGGGTCTGTAGTGTGACGACGAGCCTCTCAGATCATGGCCACTCGGCCAAGGACCGAGCACGAGTGAAATGGCTGAGAATGCCTGCAGATGGGAGGCGGTGGCCGAAGGAGAGCAGTGGGGCCTGCTTTCCGGGGGTGGGGCCCCTGTCCTCCTGTCTCGAAGCCAGTGTGTCTCCTGCGTGTGTCCCTGCCTCCCTGCCGGCCTCGTCACAGCTCCTCCCAGGTGGTCCCCAGATGGCCCACATGTCACATTGGCTTCCTCTCCCCGATTTTCCTTCTGTTTTTAAGTGTCACTCGGGTTTATCTGTTTTACTGCAATCCCACCACCTCGGAGGTCCCCTCCGTGTCCACCCCCGAGTGCGACCGCCTCCAGTCTCCGCCCCAGACCCTCCATCTTCCCGGCAGTGACCGAGGGTGAGATGTGAAATACACCTGAACTCTGGGCCGGAGCAGAGGCCCACAGACACCCAGTGGAGGAGCCCGACAGCGTCGCTGCCTCTGGACGGGGGTCGCGTCTCTGCGTTTCCTCCCTTTTTAAAGGACTGTTGGTTACAGCCTCCTGCACTGACTATACCAAACGCCTTGCCGCCTCTGGTTTGAACAGACCGCTCCCCACCACACAGGACTGCAGGCACCTGCTCTTTCTGTCGCTGAGCCTGGGACCCGGTGTCCCCACTGCCGCAGCAGCCCTTCCATCACTGCTAGGAAGGGGAGCTGCTCCGTGGCCCCTGCTGCCTGTCGGGTGCTCCCCGGGCGGCGGCACTGGCCTTCCCTAGGAGTTCTGACAGGAGGGGGTTTGACCTGGGCAGCAGCTGGTTCTGCGCACTCTGTAGACACGGAGGATGTCAGCAGGTCCTGGTGCTGGGGATCCAGGCCTGTTAGGACCGGAGCCCCCCTGCTGGGGCCCTGCCTGCAGCCCTGCCTCCGGCATCGGCTTGGTGCTTGGTGTTTGCTGAGTGTTCGCTCTGCATCTGTGTTCAGGGGAAGAGCGTCCTGGTCAGATGAGGGCAGGCTCCTCCCTCGTGGGGGACCCCGTGCAGTCGCCTGCTGGGAGCTTGGGGACTCCAGCATGGAAGTACTTGTGGCTGCTTAACCCGGCATCCTGTGACCCTGAGCCTCCACTCAGTCCCATTGCCAACCCCCCCCCCCCCCCCCCCCCCCCCAGATTTTCCTTTTTACCAACCACTGGGTGGCCCTCGTCTGAAGGTCCGCTGTTGGCATCACTGTTGCTCAGACGCAGGTGAGCCCTGCCAGGAGCGGTAAGACCCCTCTCCCGTCTCTCCCCATCCTGGCTGCAGCCGCAGGGTCGGTGCCTCCTCCAGGCGCTGGAGCTCTGCTGTTGCCTGTGGCCGCCACGCACAGCCGGAGCGCCACCTCACACACAGGCATCCTGCTCCCGCGTCACGTGGAAACGCTGGGCGAAGATGTGGAGATGCGTATTTCTGAATGTGTCGTAGGGTGCAGCCCTGAGGCTTTATGACCTTTACCCTGCGGGGTGGAGGGGGTCGCCCTAGGTGCACTTAGAAGTAGTGGTGACTGGTCACCCCCTAGAGCACCTGAAGCCTGGATGCCAGCGATCCTGTGACGGTTACGGGGAGCCACTGACGTGGACTTCAAGGGTCACGTGGGCAGGTCCCGCAGACCGGTTTGTAAGCTGCCGCTCACCGGCGGGCTGCTCGGAGAGGCAGCAGGCACCCGCTTGCCAGTGGTTACTGCGCTCCTGAGAGCAGGGGCCTGGCTAGTGGATGGGGTTTATTTTTATTTTTTTAATCCTCACCTGAGGGTATTTTTCCATTGATTTTTAGAGAGTGGAAGAGAGAGAGAGACATTGATGTGAGAGAAACACATTGCTTGGTTGCCTCCTGCATGAGCCCTGACCAGGACCCTGGCTAGGGAGGAGCCTGCAACCAACTACATGCCCTTGACCGGGGTCAAACCCGGAACCTTTGTCTGCAGGCTGTTGCTCTATCCACTGAGCCATCCGCCAGGGCAGTGTATAGGCTTTTATGAAGCTTGGGCGATAAAGAAGGATCCTGCTTTATACACTTAAGGCGTGGGAAAATTCTCCCACAATTTATTTTTTGCCTTTATTTATTTATTTTAGAGAGAGAGAGACATGGTTTGTTGTCCCCCCTATTTACGTGTTCATTGGATGAAGTACCTCCTCGCACTGGGCCTCCATCTGGGTCGGCGTGTGGCTGGCGCTGGGACCCCGTCCTGTGACCAGATCTGGCGCTCTGGCACTTGGCTGGCCTGGGTCCTCACGTTCACAGCCCTGTTGGAGGGAGGGGCGGTTAAGGTTGGCGACTGCTCTTCAACCTGAGCCCACATGAGCGGTTAACGCAGGTGCCGTGCCGGCCTGGGCTCCCAGAAACGCCACATGGGCGGGAGCCCCTCTGTGAGAACCTGCTGGTAGTGCCTTAAAGAGGAATGGATCTGGCGAGACGGCCTGTGTCCCCTCGCCCGGGTGGCCCGTCCCTGCCCTGGAGCTGCCCGTGCGAGTGTGTCAGGTCAGGCAGGACGGTGGTGCCTCTGGACCTGGCCTTGAACGCTGATGTGGCTGCTTCGTCACCGGCAGCGAATCAGACCTTCCTGAGCCTCGGTCTCCTCATCTGTGAAATGGAGATCTGCTAGCTCCTGGCGTTGGAGATGAGCGTGTGGATGTCTAGTGGGGCGTGCCTGGCAGTTGGTGAATAGCAGCTCCTATTCTTTGGGTGAAGTAAACTGTCCTCAGTTATTAGCTGACTCG